TCCGTAGCGAGCTGGAGGTTTTGTGTGTCGGGCTATGATTGCTTCCGTATCGTGATCTGATTAAGCTTTCTTCGCGCTTCCTCTGTGTCTCGTGCTGTAATTATTGCTGCAATGTCAGCCGCGTAGCCAATTAAGTACGATTCGTCTGGTATTTGTATAACCCACAATTCTGTGCTTAGAATGAATCCTTGATCTACCGTGATCCCTCTCTAGTTTGATACAGCAGTTTTTTGTTTCTAAGATAGCTCCGCACAACAGCTCCGTAATATGTTCAGGCTTATTTGAGGAATGCTTTGTTGCGAAAGGGAAGATTTAAGATAGAAAAGCACAATTTAAATAAAAAAATATTTAAAGGTTTGTTAGTGTCTAAAACATAAATTCGATTACAAAATTTCACATTCACAACAACACTCGAGGGCATAATAATAACGGAGAAAACTCATAGTCATTCCATTTACATATATTTATATGTTTGTGTGTGAGAAGCTTAAGTGTGCCACTTACAGGCGTGTTCAAATGGAAATGTGATATATGACCTCCATATACACACATGAGTTACATATAACGCTATACTGTGTATGTAGTTATTCAAATATATAATATTAGGGCTAACCGTATTTTATTTAGGATTAGAGTATTCATACATTGCTGCAAGGCTAAAACTAAGTAGGGACTGATTTCAAATTGTTGAATTTAACTTTTACGATATAAATATATTCTCAATTTCATCAAATATTAGCTTAAAATTAGGTATCTGAACACAGGTAAGCCTTCCTTCACTCACTCTAGTAATACCCTAGTGCCTATGTGCGTATTGCACATAAATTTATTGAAATCAATGACATGAGTATCGCTAAGAGCGCCGCCACCTACCCACCTTCATTGCTTACCCACTTTTTGTAACGTTCCCTTTCCCTATTTTTATTACTGCGATTTTCCCTATTTTGCTGAGGCCATTTTGGTGAAAATTGCGGTCGCTTTCAATGCAACCTCGTGCCACCCTTATATCCGGTTACGTTGTTGCTGCTGATGGCGTGATGTTATTATTTTATTTTTTGCTTAAAATGAATTTTAAATTGATTTTCAATTCAATGCATTACATTATTGTTGTTGCGTTTGATAAAACAAAATATTTGGATTCACAAAATGAGGTTTACACTTGTCACAGCTATCAGCGCATTTGCATACATACAGTGATGAGTTACATATATATAATTTTACATACTGGTATGTATATTTACATTTATATACTTACACAACTGAACTGTTGACATTTTAAAAATTGGCGATTCGAGAATATGGTCGACACCTGAATAGGAACCAACATCTCAACTTTGGCGCTATTCGTCGGGCTATGAAGTATTAAAATATCTGAACGAAGTTCAGTGAATCGAGAAATATCTTGTGTTTACTCAACGAAAGCCTGCAGTCAACAAACAGATTGGACCTTATCTGTGTGGCTTTAGGCTTGGAAAATCAGCAACTGACCAGATAATCACCATGCGTCAAATCGTGGAAAAGATCCAGTAAAAGAGGATGACACACACGACCTGTTTCTTGATTTCAAAGCTCTTTTAGACAGCACGAAAAGGAGCTGCCTTTATGCCGCGATGTCTGAATTTGCTATCTTCGCAAAACTGATATGGCTGTGTAAACTGACGTTGAGCAAAAGCTCCGCAAGGATCGGGAAGGATCGAGAAGGACTCGGGGAGTCGTTCGATATAAAGCGAGGTTTCGGAAAAGACGACTTCCTATTGTGCGACTTTTTCAATATACTGCTGGAGAAAATACTTTGAGCTGCAGAATTGAATCGAGAAGGCACAATCCTTTATAAGAGTGTATAGCAGATGCGATGATATCATTGACCTCAACATCCGCGTCATTAGTTCTGCTTTCTCCAACTTGATAAGGAAGCGCAGCAAACGGTTTTGGTAGTGAACGAGAGCAAGATGAAAGATCAAACAAACCTTCCTAAGATCTGATGAAACGTTTTGAACAACATTTTCAGATTTAAAATAATCGCTATCAGTTATATAAATGGTTTTTATTAAGACAAAACAATCGACTTCGGTGACGTCATCTTTGAAGGTTACGTAAGAAGAAAATATTTTGAAAAACAGCTGGAAAACGCATTACGATGCTTGGTAGACTCGCCATACGACCACATTGTTCTGGTTTTTTGCGCCATGTTTCCCAAAATATTAACGCTGCTATTCAAGGCGTCACTTCTATTAGAATAGTACATATATACTTATTTTTTTTGCTTTCTTTGAGGCAAGTTTACATACATTGTTTTTGTATAGATTAATATCTTCCTTGTGTGTTATGCATTATCCTTCTAACTGTCGCTGCGACCCTTAGGCGCAGGAAACTGATAAACACGGTAAATTCAATTGTTTTCCGTTTTTATTCTCAAAAAGCTCGATTTGTTTTTATTATTGCTCACTGTATTGGTATTATGTACTGTTAGGTGCACCCCAATTTTAATACTTATCACTGCCACTGATTGGCAGTTGAGTAGGGTTCACGTTAACCCTTTGTTATACCAACTAAATGCGATTTTGCACACTATTTATGTTTGTGGAATTTACCTGAAACAAAAACGCACATAAGCGCGTGATACCTTAAGACTACAGTGACCCATTTCCTATATGTACAGTCACCTATTTTTACACTTTTTACGCTACCACGAAAACAAGGAAATATTTTGTTGTAATTTTTATACTCCCCATAGAAATGTACAAATTAAGATGCGATTCAAATAACTGGATAAAACTTTCCACGAATAATGTCTTTACAATACACCACCTTATGACCACAACTTGTGCAAATCCAATAAAAACTGTTCAAGCCGCTAAGATCGCGGTCATTGTGTGAAATATATAATATAACTGAAACCTTCGATCCTCTGACCGTAGGGTATTTCCCTGTCCTTGAATCTAGCAAGTTGCAATATTGTATAAAATGTTGGGTTGTACCCGATCTGAGACCTTCCTTACTTTATTGGTTTTACTAATATAATTTGTCGCCGATTTTCAACACCTAAATATTATATATTTGTAAACCCTGGAAAAATGTATTTGCGCCGCCAATAGTATGGAATTGTTTTACTGTGCGTTATGTTTTGTTTTCCTGGGTTTATATGGGATTCAATTACGCTCCCTTTGCTAAATTGATGCCGAAATGTTTACGAAGTGTTTATTGTGCATTACGTAAGGATAATTGCCGTGTTACAAAGGAAAATGTTTACCTTTTTTATTAGTTTAAGATAAAAAGTGAACTTATATCTGCAAAGAATTATATTCCAATATGTATGTATGTATGTGGATAAAGTCGAAACATCGTATAAAAGGGTACGTATTCAAATTTCTTAAGAAATATAATTTTCTATATTTTCATATGAAATTTTAAGCGGTTTTATTGGTTTTATTTATAAGATAAGATAAAATCATGCACATACAGATATTTTTAAAGATCGAGTTTTGATTTCTCAATTTTATTTTATGTTAGATTTGTTAGATTATTTCTAATAAAGAACCCGATTCGTCACACAAGAAAATACGGAATACGTTGTCATAATGTGATCTTACTTCGAGTATTATTTCAAGCGTTTGACAGCTTTGAAGAGAGTTTCTAGCCTTACCACATAACATCGGTACCCGTGAACTTTCACGAAAGATAAGAAGAAAAAAGAAATTATAGTTTTGGTATTGTTTGGAATAAATGTTACTCATGCAGACCGATTATTTTTGAGGTATAAAAAATATTTTATTTAGAAATCAAATTTTTACATATTATTTTCTTTATTTTGTTAATAATTCACTGATTTAAAACAAGATTATAGCACCACAAGTTAGTTCCAAAGAGAGTTATTTAAAATATCTCTTCTTACGTTTTTGTTTTCTCGAACCAAATTAATAAACATATGTCATTGATGTTGTTAGTGTCAATTTATGATACGTGAATAATTAATAATTTAACGGTAAAATATTTGTAGGGAAATTAATTGACCTCTTTTAATTACAATTTCACAGAAACTAATAATAGGAATCTGTAGGGTGAAAACACTTGCTAAGAAAAATTAAGATTTGAAGCCAATGTTTTTTTATTTAAATTATAATATTTAATGTTATAAAAAAGGTAACAACTCCTAGTATTATTTCTGTCAAAAAATCTTCTTCATCATCTTTATTGGCCAATTGGAAATTTCAAGTGTACTGCGTCGAACACTCTCAGATTTGGGGTGTTTTCATTTACATAATCAAGCCGCTGTCTCTTAATTCGTAATTGCCTGTATATCTGGAACAGCTCATCATTCCATCGGCTGCAGTATTCACCATTGTCGATACGCTAAGAACCATAAACCATCCGCAGAACCTTTCTTGCCTCGTAGTGTCGAATCATCAGATGTTGTCAACGTCCTTGCCTCTGCACCATACAGCCTGACTGGGATGATGGCTGACTTGTAAAATTTAGAGAGGACTTTACTTCTTCATTACCTTCATACTCTGAAGGTATGATGTACCCATGTGTTGAAATTCACGCAAGTGAAGAAAGTTATCTGAGTACCAATCACTTGAGATTGCCCAGAAATGATTCTTTTACATATGGCTCAAGCAGCTCACCACCTGCTTTCTTAGACCAAGTATCCTCTGGTTAGTCAAAAAAACATCCGTTTGAAAGCGAGCTAAAGTGAGAAGGTGAAATACAGCTCCTCAGGCTTGTGCGCTGTGTTCGGAACCCGCCACGTATAAAACGCCTGAAATGAAAAGAGGAACTAAGTACTTCGTAATTATGCTGCTACAGTACCGAAAGCCAAAATTCTTACGTATCGATCATAAATTTCAAACTTTACAATAAAATTGTGAGTTATGTATTTGTTTTCATCATAAGTTCTTAAAAAATGATCACCTTAGTTTCAATTTTCATTCCAATGTACGAGCTCTTACAATATATATTTCATTCGCAACCGTTATAGCAGTCATAGCGACAAACTTTAGTTAGTGCTACCGTGTTGATATGGCAATCGGACAGAAAATACTGCTGCTGATTTCGCTCTCTCTACTAATAGCATTTTATGACAATCTACTTTGCTTTGCCGAAATTTCTTATCACACCTGCAAAGTGCGCGCGAATATAGGAAAAAGTGAGAAAAAGCACGACTCTGAATGAAGCTCGATATATTCAAATATTTTCTTAATTTTTAGTGGATATAGAAGATTTTGAAAAGAAACGTCCTGCGCGAAGCACAAACGCAGAATGCTTTCGGATTTGCTACGCTTTGATGACGAAAACGGTAAATGATTCTCAATACTTACGATATTAACATATATGATGCAATTGTATTTACCATAAGTGTATTGACAGAGGTACTACACTAGAACCTGTCTGGGTGGCACTACGAATTATTCTCGCTGGTTCACCGTATTTGAATGTCCGCAAAAAATTAGAAATCCTGTTTTGATCGCAGATGGCATCATTCCCGATGAATTCACAACCAAAAGGCCAACTGATCTCTGTCCTGGCTGGAAATATCCTGCCGATTAGAATGATGTTTACTGTGTATAGTGAAAATAAAATTATATAATTATCATCTTTCAGACGGTTAAGAAGGTGGCATTCTCGGCTCCATTTTTGACAGCGACATTAAATTTATTTGCCGCATATATCGAGTTAAGTAATTGTAATTAAATACACGCTTTTGTGAAAACCGATAGTTACGCGAAACGGAATCGAATTAATATCTGGTATTTCCGATTTAATAGCGTGGAATAATGGCGGATACCGACAACGAAAATGAAGGTTAACGATGCAAGAATGACAGCCGCCGGCGATTGCAGGAACACGTGTGTTCATGTTTATATGGCGAAACAAATATAATACGTATAAATGTATCAATATTTGTATGTACAATTATGTACTTATATATGTGCGAGTACTTTTGTGCGGTTCACAAAGTGGCGATGAGGCAATTTCCAGCGGAAGTGAATTTGCAATGCAAATATGCCGTTATATATGGCTGACAATGCGTTCAATTGCGCCGAAGCAAATTAGGTGGAAAACAGCTAAACAATCATGCCCCAAATTAAGCATATTATGCACATAATTTATTTTATTGAACCGCAACAAATGCAAGCGCCAATTTTCATTTTTTATTTTCGCAAAATGTTTGTGGCCAAATGTGTGCACTAGCGGTTCTCCAAAGGGGAAAGAGAGGTAAATGATAATTTTAATTGTGACCAGTTCCTACGCTTATGATAGCTCATTAAATATGGAACCATTTAGGAATTTGGCGAATATGTTTTGTTTGATTACTTTGATATTTTTAAACTTCCGCAACAAGAGTATATTTCCTTTCTGCACATACATATTAGTTCTACTATTTACATATTAATAGGTGTAATCTGATTTCTGATTATATACTCTGGTATAGTGTATCCGTACCGTTATGAAGTGAGCGCTACGATACAAACGTATTGGTTGGAAATATTTTTTGGTATTCAATATGGTTTGTGGAAATCATTAATCTTTTTTCCATTTGAAGAAAAGTGCTGCAGAGTCTCATCGAATGCTTATGGTGACTATGCTCTATCAGAAGCAACATGCAAAAGATTGTTTCAACGATTCAGAGATAATAGCTTTTATGTGAGAAATGACGAAAGTGGAAGACCACCAAAAAGGTTTGAAGACGCCGAAGTGGCGAATGAAAGACAAATTGAAAATTTTTGCTTTAAAGACACGAAAGAAAATCAGTTTTGCAACGAATTGTCACTGGCGATGAAAAATGCAATTATTTTAAGAATCAAAAACGGAGAAAATCATGGGTTAGTCCGGGTCAACCATCAACATCAACTGCAAAGACATATCGTTTCGGTAACCAGGTAATGCTTTGCGTTTGGTGGAGTCCGAAGGGTATGGTATATAATGATCTTATAAAACTTGGTGAAACTATTAATACTTGGCTGGGATCTGCTATCCCGCCCGACATATTCACCAGACTTGAGCCCTTTCGAATACCATTTGTTTTCATACATGGGCATAAATTGGGTGAGCAGCACCTACGCAGACGTCGAAAGTTGGGTGTTTGACTGTTTTGCTTCAAAATACGAACACATCTATTGGCATGGTACCCACAAATTGTTAGAAATATGGTCAAATTATGTAAAAAGCAATAGATAGTATGTTTAAAATATATATTTTTTTACTTTCTTGTTCAAAACTAGTATTTCATTTTCACAAAAAAAATTATAAAAAACCGGAAAATCCATGAAGAGCTTTATTCGATATATAATTTATATTAGTTACGTATTGCAAAAGCGCAAGTAAGATGTATAAGCTTCTCAGAAAGACTATTGCTCGAGAATATCGCACTATTGCTCGTTTTCTCCTAAACCTCAACAATTGATGGCAGAAAGAGAATTGATCTGCTTCCGGCAGTTCGAATCCATTCAGCCACCGGGGACCACAAGGGCTTCGTAAATCAGTTAAATAATACTAAAGAAATTTGGGAATTTCTATAAAATCTGGTTTGACCAGATAACTGAGATTATCACCAATTTGGATATTGTATCCAATTTTTCAGAGGTTTTAGCGCACAGGTGCCTTATATTACTGCAATCCCCTGTGCCAAATTACAGATCTACATCTTATGCTTAGTTCTGGCACTTTATAGATTTTCGTTTAATGTCGATTTGTTGGCGTAGCAGTAGTGCGGACAGACCTTACATCTAGCTCGATTATTTTTAGGCGAAATAACAACAGCAACATATTGGAAGAGTATAAAATATAGTTATTTTATCAAGGGCGATGATTATGAATATCATAAATAACGAATTGGCTACACCGATGATAAGTTTCATATGAATTTCTTATAAAGAAATGTTGAAATCACATATAATATTTATTATTCTCTTTTAGCATCATTGCCATTGAATTCGTTTGATTATCTTATATATAAAAATGAAACGCTATTTCATTATGTCCGCGCATCACGTCCGAACCACAACGCGGAAAGGCGTAAAAATTTGCACAGTTATTCGTTTATTACTTTGGAAGGTTATAGAGGAGGAAAAAATCGAATAATTGCTGGAAAACCCCTAAAAACATCCATTTTCTTTTTCCAATACAAACGAATGTACATATGTATGTTTGTTTGTTAGTATCGTTAAGAGAACGGCAGCACCAATCTTAATAAAATTTTCAGGGGTTATTCATTGCGGATCGGGGAAGGTTTGAAAATAAAAAACCGTATGCTTTTCGTGAGGAAAAGTCGGAAAATTGGACAATTCCAAAAAGTTACTTTTTTCCATACAT